TTCTATCTTTCTTTCTTCCGTGCTCTCCTGCTTCTTCTTGGTTCGTCTCTTTAAGAGTTGTCTGCACCCTGATTTGTCCTTTACAGCCAGGCTACGATGTATGTGTTTTTCAGCCCAACACCTCCTTTTTCAGTATACTCTTAATAAGCATTATTTTACGATAGGCATATGGGTCTATCCATCACCCACTCTCGTCCGACCACCCAATAACAAAGCAGCCCTAAAAAAAAAAAAAAAAAGATAAAGATCACACAATAATTAATAGAGAAATAGTTTGTGGACAATCTGTGTTTTTGTAAAGTGTTATAAGAAGTAAACGGAATTGAGTACTCTTCAACGACTGGAAGGGCTGATCGAAAGAGAAAAAGGGGACATTAAATAGATACACATTTCTGCGACTTAGCCATATAATGTAACATAACATAATATAACCCTTGACCCGTTAGGGTCGTGGAGGTGTGTCGATGGAAGCACTAACACACAAAACCCGCCATCTTTCTCTGGCTTCTGCTTAATCTGTATGATAACTTAGTCCTGTCCATTTCTTGATGTCATTCGAGGTTCTTCTTTACCCTCCCCTTCTTCGACACCCCCCCCCCTTTTACCTCCCCCCCCCCCCCCCCCTCCAATTTTCCTTGAAGTACAGTTTTTGCAATCGAATCATGTCTCACCACGTGCCCAAACAAAGCTAGCTTGCGACGTTTCATAACTGCCAAGAGAGGCTCCTTGTGTCCTGCAAATTTTCATATTTTCTCCTAGACATATTTGTTAGTTTTATATTCTGAATAACTTATTCGTAAAATGCATCCGTTGCATTCACTTTCAAAAGCCCGAATCACTGTTTCCATTTCCACAGTGAGAGTCCAACTCTCACAGCCGTATAAGAAAAAAGACAATAACAGTGATTTTTACTGCAGTGCAAATGTTGTTCTTCCACATCGTATTCTTATGAGAATGAATCCTAGTATACCTGCTAAAACAGCTCTCACATGGAGACCAGAGGGAAAGAGAAAGAAGGGGCTCCCAAAAAACAATATGGAGTCGAACTATGGAAAGCAAACTGAGTGCTGCATCTCTGACATGGAAAACTGCAATGGAGATTGCACAGGACAGGAAAGCCTGGAAAGTCCTCTCTGAAGTCTCATGTGCCACTAGGCATAAAGAGAACTGATGGCGATGATGACATCGTATTCAGCAGGGACATGGCGGCTTTTGCCATATCAAGTCAAGGAGACAAGAACATTGATCTGATCTGTTATGGTGATAATCGTGTGTGATGACGAAACATGACCACCTACGCTTATCAGACACAGGCTGATGATAATAATGTAATCCGTGACCAGCAGTTTGGTTCCCTGCAGTTGTTCTCTTGTTACTTATTATTTCTATCTTATATCTCTATGAACGCCGATCAATAATCCTGCATTTTCTTCTCAAGTTTTGAAACCGTATTGTGTTATGCTGCACACATCGGAGCAACACCACACAGATATAAATGGTGCCATATGCGTCTATGTTGTCAGACCGTGGCTTTGTGTGTGCGACAGTTTCAATTTCTTACTGGTAAACTAATATCATTGACAATGATAAGCCTGGTGTTCTGTGTTGCGCGCCCTACACTCGCGGGATTTGTATGCTTTCTTGTGGCAATCTGTTATTTTGGTAGGTTATGAGTAATGGATTTGTGAGCAATTGTGTTAGTTATTTAGCTAGTTAGATGTTTAGTTTAAAGTAAATTAGTTTACTTTAGTTTAGTTTAGATTACTTTAGTTTAGTTTAGATTAAATTACTTTAACTTTAGTTTAGTTTAGATTAGATTAGTTTTTATTTATTTTGTCTGTTAGTTGGCTTGCTAGTTAGTCAACAAATTATGCTACACAGTTAGTTAGTCGACAGATTATCTCAACTAGTTAGCTTTCAATTTATCACCCTATCTAGCTAGTGAATCGACATATCATCCCAGCCAGTTAATTAGTTGACAGATCATCCTATATATAAGAAAGTCGACAAATCAATTTACTTAGGTTATTTAGTCGACAGATCATCCTAGTTGGTCAGTCGACCTCGCCATGTTGGTTTTGGTGCCCCATTGACAGGAGGAGGGGGGGGGCGGGTGATAGACACAACCAACATCTCTGCACAACAACTGTGCATCCAACAACCATGCAATGAAAGTCGACTAATCAAGAGTGTTTCCTTGGAAGTATAAGTACATCTACCTGAAAGGCGATGAACAAACTGTCTGCTTACAAATAAACCAGATCTGTAAAACAGGTGTGCACGCACAACTTAAGTTCTGAACCCCGTTCATCCCGTAAGTTACGTTAGGGCCCTCGATAACAGCCGATGTGGGCTTTAAAATAAACACACACACACACACACACACACACATACAAATGCGTTTCATACTGAGATGGAGTTAATTCCACCATCGTATCCTCATCTAGTATATCAGCATTATTGCATTATTCACATTGTTTGTTTGTTTGTTTTAGTATCCAGAAGCCATGAGTTCACATTTTTTAAAATGCTCTTGTATTTTTCTAAATGTTAGATATTGTGTGTATATATGTGGGCATGCGAACGGGTGCGTGTGTGTGTGTATGTGTGGATAAATGTGTGAATCACGTTATCTTTACTTCAATAGCCAAATTGCTTGTTTACGTAATCTAGAGGATGCACTGTGCGACCATCTTGACGAAGACGAGCCTCCTCCAGTTTTCCCGCCAAAATCATTGGGTAAGCTAATCACACATCATGCGTGTTCAAAATGACGCTTGCAAAATACTATTTTATTCAGTTAACAGTTCAGTAGATTGTAAACCTGTGGCGTTTCCACATAGCCATTAAATTTTTTGACACCCATATTTCACACGTGGGTTCTAGGCTCCGATTGTGGGGGAGAAGAATAGACCCAGCCCCCCCCCCCCTCCCACTTCCACGCAGCAAGCATATCGTAAAAGTCTACTCATGAGGGGTGGTTCGTCTGAGGTCTAGTGTATCTGCCTGAGAATCAAGGAGCCAACAAAGAATATTCCCGCAAAACTCAAGTTCTGTAACTTCACCAAAGTCCACAAGTGGATAAACAAACACAACTTTCAGCCGGAGTTTACTGCGTAAGAACGCGAAGAACAAGAACAAGAACACACATACATGCTATTTTAAAGCCGCCATGGTCTAGCGGGTAGACGCTCGGCTGCGGATCTGATGTCGTTGGTTCGATTCCAGACAGGAACCGGACTTTTTTTTCTTTAAAAATAACTTTGGCTCCCAAGGTCGACCCAGCCTTAAGTGGATACCAGGTACGGTCCTGGGAAGTAAAGGCGGCCGGTGTGATGCTGACCACATCACCCACCAAGTGCCGTTTGCTCTATAAAATATACGTCTAGCCCTATATACCCAAGGCGAGAAAAAGGGCCCTTTACTTTACTTTACTATACATGCTATTCTCTTCGTCTTCTATAACCCTCTCCTCTGTTAGCCTAGCTGAAACCTGGGTTCTTAGGACCCCCACCACCACCTCCATTCTCATCTTCCCCACCCCCATATTTTTTTTGAGGGAGTCGACATACTCTCCAGTTCGAGTGCTTATCTACCCCGCTCCCTCTTTTCCCCATCCTTAGGACATGTATCCACTGTCTCTTCCATAAATTGCTTCGCACATACCATATTATCTCCAATACATTATTATGTTTATTTGGCATTGAGTATATTATTAGTATTTTAATTATTATTATTGTTATGCACTTAACCAACTTACATGCCCTTTCAAACGCCCCCCCCCCCTCTTGAAAAGTATAAAGCCGTTACTGTTGGCTCTGTTGTTTAGCGTCTAGACTACGGATCGAAATGTCGTGGTCTCAGGTCCTGACGGACTTTTTTAAACATTACACGTCGTTTCCGGGTCGACCCAGCCTTGATCTGGTACCAGGAATAGTACTGGGAAGTAAAAGCGATTGTGTGATGTTGATCACATCACACACCGAGTGCCCAGTGGTCTATAAAATATATGTCTAGCCCTATATGCACAATACGCCTGAAGGCCTTTACTATACTTTACTTTCTACTTCCAGGTAATGAGATATGCGTCTATCTAATGTGAATAGGTTACAACTGCTGGGAAGCAAGATTACCGGTGTGATCTACTATAATCTCCCCAGTCGAACTAGGTCACGGTCTATTGATATAATTTTTAGACTCGTCTGCTGTCCAGGGGGTCTGGCTTGTCTTGCATTTACCTTTTTCTTCCCAAAAAGAAAATGCCTGTGACATAGGTTGCAGCACTCTCTAGGGGGAGTTGTGGGTTAGACCCAGTTTGTAAATGTTTTTGTAGTGTTACAAGCGCTGGCGTGCTTAAATATACAACACTCGATATGAACGCATTACCTAACACCCCTTAAGCATTGTGCGAAGGTCGGGTGACTGGAGGTCGACCAATGAGTAGTGAGCTAGTGTGTTCTGTGGGGGAGATTATAGTAAAACTAACCAGATTACCAATCGATACCTCACCTTACTCGCCTCATATGCCACGCTGTTTCGTGACCTATTTACATCCTACAGGCCCATCCGCCTTCTACATTGTTTGAAGGCCAGATCTGAACCTCAGTCTGGTTTCTAAGAGTGCAAGAAGTGAGAAAAATTGCAGCACGGTTCCGGGCAAATGGATCTTAAACAAAGCTTTTGAGTCAGTCGGTGATAGGTAGTCATAATTCCAACTTTACTGCAATTTGGTCACCCCAGAATTGATCCGTTCATTTGTCATCAAAAATACAGAGTTCGCATGTAAGGAAAGGGTACTTTTATTTTAGTTCAACTTATCTCGGGCTAATTCGAGAGATCCCGAAACAGGCCAATATTACGGGGAGAGGTGGGTTAGGGTTACTGTTAATCGGTGTCAATTTCACACCATAACACCCCTATACTGTTGGAATTTCCCGGGAACTAACGGATACACCGAGAAGGGGGTGCTTAAAATTAAAGAACCTAGGTAGGCTCTAATAAATGTTTGACGAGTTCATTGTTAGGAAATTAGTTAATAATCCAAACACGAATATTTCGAACAGAATCCCCATATCCCAGACTCCTCCACGAACGTGACGTCATCCACTACAGGGACGCCAATGGTCAGTTTGTGACTCTCGGATCTGGAACTTTCGCTAATGTCACTCTGGGTGAGCTCGCTGACTCTGGCGTCCACGTGGTGATCAAATCTTTCACGGACTCACCTTTTCGGGAGATTCTCAAGGAGATTAGAATGCATAGGTGAGATACCTGTTTATTGTCTGGTCCTTTTATTTTAGTTCATCCAGTCTCGGGGACTCCGAGAGTTGCCGGGAAAAGTCCATTAGTATAGGGATGTTACGCTGTGAAATGAGCACCAACTACCTCTAACCGTAACCCCCTTTTGATATTTGACTTTCAATAGCAATTCTCAAGCTCCCCGAGACGAGGTGAACGAAAATTGTATTACCTTTTTTATTCTTGATGTAAGTATTGATGTGAATTCACTCGTAATTAACGTTTTTTTTTAAATCCAATCGAAATTTAAGTATTAGTTTTCAAAGTTGCTATGCTGACTGTTGTAGTTGCAAATTTACTACACATTTTTTATTGACGCTCAATTAGCATTTAAAAGCGATCCTTACTGTCCGTATTTAAAAAAATTTTTTTTAGGGTGGTCGCGAGCCTGAGGATTTAATTCCGAAAGGCTAGTGCAGACGCCAAGTACTGTGCAGGTTTGGATGATTGCAATGCGCCCCCCCCCTCCCCACCCTTTTTTCCTGTGAGGTCATACTATTTCATTATCACGTTACATTGCTCTTTTTGGCACAGTGACTAAACCACTTTTAAATTGTGTAAGGGAAGGGAATCGGTAAATTCTTTGCCCAATTTGTGTTTAGTAATTACTTCCCTTAATTTTTAAATATAACGTTTCCAAATGTAGACATTGGATTGAACTCCCTTTTCTTCGTACATACTTAATTAAAGGCTTTTGATTCCAACCAATTCCTTTTCGATAAATGACGCAATGTTTGTTTTTTAATCCAGAGCCCACCCTAGCTGAATTCTGGGGTCCTAATATAAACTGATTATTTAACTAGGATTCTGGGATTTGTGCCGGGAGATTCTCATCCGAATGGAGGCACTTTGTGTAACCGAGTGTTAATAGCACGCTGTGGGGTCTTGGTGCTGTTACACGTCTTTCACTCTTAATTTTTTTTGGTCATTTCCTTGTGGGGTGCAATTTTTCGTTTTTTTTTTTAAAAGCCCTACCCTGGTTTTTGCCAGGGGCCGAAATATAGCCCTGCCTAATGGTTAAACGCGGTTTCCAGGGCTTCACCATGTGTGATCTTCATCCACATGGCACTTTGCGTCATCTGGTGTTTGTCGCTTGTGTGATGTCCTAGTGCGGTAAAATGTACTACTACTACTACTACTACTACTACTACTACTACTACTACTACTACTACTACTACTACTACTACTACTACTACTACTACTACTACTACTACTGCTACTACTACTACTACTACTACTACTACTACTACTACTACTACTACTACTACTACTACTACTACTAAATTGACACTCCGTTGATTGTTTTCTCTAGTTTTATTAGGTGTACACTGTTCAACTCGTAACCTGCAACCTACACACACTCTCTCTCTCCAGTCGACTGGATCGTGTGATTTTTGCTGTCATGACCCTTGCTAAAGAGCTCACATTCTTTTGTCATTTAATTATTTGTTTTTGCAGTTCAACCGGGAGCTACTTATGTCCTCACAGTGCATCTCGCTTCTGGCTGTTTCTCCCCCCCCCCCCTAATTCCCTTCCCTTTAGCTCCTTATATATATATATATATATATATATATATATATATATATATATATATATATATATATATATATATATATACATACAAACATGTCTTCAAATATTGTTATATTGCAGGCACTCTATCATTCGAGTTTTTGTTTTTTTTTTGTTCAGGTATGCAGAAGATCTAGGTGTAACATCACGCCTCATTGGCCTGCTGCCGTCAGGACCCTTTGCGGGAAACATTTCATTGGTCTTTGAATATATCGCATATTCTAAAGACATTCATGATTGGTTACATGAACATAAGGCTCTAACCACTGTCCAGTGGATTTGGGTCTGCCGTCAGTTAGCTCTAGCCTTGCTCCGCCTCCACCAACATGACGTGATGTTCAATGATTTACATCGAAGTAACATTCTCATTAAAAAGCATGGAAACAATCTACAAATTTATTTTATCGACTTTGGCTATGCAACTTTTAAAAGTGGAAAGATCTACTCAGGTAGTAATTTCACTAATTTGGATTTTTTGGCACCGGAATTGTCGCAAGGATCTGTCACTACAAAAGCAACTGATATGTTTTCCCTGGGTTATGTGTTTCATAAAATAGCTGCTGAAATTAACGTAGTTCCTCTATTATTCCTGGCTGACTGGTGTATGGCGCAGGACCCTTCTGACAGACCTGAGTTGTTAACGGTTATCGCGAAACTGGACAGCATTTTATTTGGACTTCAGCTGATAAGCTGGGCAGAACTGTCAAACCCGAATATAGAGTACAATGATTGGACCACACAATGTGATTTTTTTGTACTTACCAAAGAAAACGAAGTTGGTATCTCCGCCCCTTACTTATTGTGTCCAGTCCCGTTAAGATTAACACTAACTGACAAGGAAAAGACAATTGAGTGGGATTGGCTTCTGCGATATAGTAACATAATTTCAGAAAAATGTCCCGTTCCACTTTTTGTACTTGATGAGCATGATTTGTCTGCGCCCGATTCTAACAACACCCAATGGATTTCCCGAGCAATAACCACTGATATTCGTATAGCTCAACTAAGACTGACCAATGAAACAGTGGTCGTCAAAGAATTTTATGGAGTTTCCTTTGAAAAAATCAGAAACGAGGCATGCATGACAGCTTTCTTTGGAGAAATAGGCATAAGTCCCAGAATAATAGGAATTCTCACCGAGTACAGGGAAATGACGGACGCCGCTTTTGTTCAAGAGATGTGGGGGAATGGTGTGTCTCTTTCCAAATTTATGTTTGTTACTTCTGAACACGAGTGGAACTTTGAATTTCTGCAGAGAGCAGCTGAAGACATCGAATTCCAGAATGTCTGCTCTTGGAATTCTTCAGAATATTTCTTGGGCCTGATCAAAGAAAAAGCTGTGCAAATATGTCATGCCAAAGGATATCGAAGGCGAACAATGGAGGAAATATGTACATTGTTAATCCAAATGATGATTACCGTTCACGATGCTGGCTATTTAATTAACAGCTTGAGAGCAAATAATGTACTCCTGAAAGCAAAGTATGTCAACAGTGTCAGGTTTGACGTGGACATCCGGCTTATTGACCTCCGAATGATATCATCAATCCATCCTGGAATTTTTTTAAACACATCCCCAGATGATATTCCCAAGTTTCCGTATCTTGCCCCGGAAGTACATCGAGGCGAGAGAACGTCAAAGTCATCGGATATATATAGCCTGTGCTTCGCGCTCAATCAGATCATGAGCGAATACTTTGTGACCTATGCTTCAGGGGTGACTTCAACGAAGACGAATCAAACTTTAAATAGTTATTTGAATGTTTACGGTAATTCTACAGTACAAAGAACTAATCGTGGTCACCAGTCAAAGGTCAAGTCATCTCATACAACAGAGTCTGTACTCGCAGTCCTCAGATATCACAACCTATTACTCAAATGTTTACACGGTGAGCCTAGTGATAGACCTCACCTACAAGAGTTGCTTGCCGTTTCTTCTTTAGCGTTTTCATAATTTTCAGTTTAATCAACTCTTTTAGCCATAAGAAATACGTAAAAAGTGACTGGAGCTTTCTTGTATGTCCTAAACTGTGTGTCTGGTGTCTTTCTACTTAATAAGTTTTGTCAGCACATTTTCAAGAAATCTGGCGAACTCAGCGGGCAACTTCGGTTCTCTTCTTATCCGCACAACACGACATAGTCAACTTCCATGAAATAACGTAATAAAACATTTCATGTTTTCACGGAAAGAAAGACAATCATATTAATTTCTGCCTTAAGAAAAATGAGTGAAGGCTTTTTTTTCGGTGGGATGTCTCACTTTTTTAGCAGATACACAAATCCACATTTATTCATGTGCAAAAAAAATATATATATAAACATTTTACCTATTAAATCATGCATACAAACAATCAAATAATGATTAATTTATTTATCTACACACGCGTCGCGCGCACACACACACACACACACACACACACATACAATCTTCATAACTGTTACATTTCCACAAACATTCCGTGATGGAATCAGCATTGCAAAGTGTTTACCAGAACTCTTGCACAATTGATGAAAAATAAAGATTGTGAGAAAGCGGCGTCATCTGTCGGCTCTATGTCGCGTCTTTGAATGATGTGAGGACCTGTAACTTTTTTTTCAAATTTATGGTAGATATGTTGGTATTTTGTGATCTTCATGACTGCTGTCTGTAGAATAAACATTTCGAGGATAAGAAACGGAACAGGTAGAAATCCATGAAGTCTCGTTCAACCATATACAACAAAAATATTAGGGTGCCAAGGTTTTAGTCGCCTGACTGACTTTCTACCCCACCAGGACATCACACAAGCGATTAACACCCGATGACACAATGTACCGCCATGTGGATGAGGATCACCGTGGAGAGGTCCCAGAAACCATGTTCAGCTAATAGGCTATATTTATGGCCAGGCTATATTGCGGCCCCCGGCAAGAACCCGGGTGGGGCTTCAAATAACGAACAATTTCATCCTAAAAAGGACGGTGAATTAAATTGCTAATAAGGTTTTAGTAGTTACCCGAAGTCCTGATACTATAAGGAATTGTGTGTTAGATCTTGTCCTTCATGTGAGCGTGTGTGTGTGGGCGAATGTGCGCATGTATGTATGTGTGTAAGTGTGGACGTACACTCATCCCGGCACGCAATTTCACACACACACATCGACATCTCTGTAACTTTTGTCGACTTTCTGGAGCGGAGAGTCCATACACTAGGTTCAGAAGAAATGTGAGACGTGATATCAGTACCACAAGGGAGATAAACGGGACTATCTGCCAGCCAATGGAGATAACAAAGAAAAATAATCACATCTTTGTGTCTTTCAAAGCGTGGGTTTTAAGGGCCCATTTCAAGTAGGCGGAGGAAGGTAGGGGGCGGGGAGGGGAGGGGGCGGAGGAAGGTAGGGGTCGGGGAGGGGAGGGGGCGGAGGAAGGTAGGGGGCGGGGAGGGGAGGGGGCGGAGGAAGGTAGGGGGCGGGGAGGGGAGGAGACGGAGGAAGGTAGGGGGCGGAGGAAGGTAGGGGGCGGGGAGGGGAGGGGGCGGAGGAAGGTAGGGGCGGGGAGGGGAGGGGTAGACCTACTTACCTCTAACAATCATGTCGTGAAAGGCTACAAATGAGGGATTTGCTGAAATCCCTTTGTTTGGGACCGAAAAGTACACATAATGCAGCCTAGCTTTTAATCACAACAAATGTAGCACCTAAAGGGCTAATACAAAACAAAAAGAACAAGAAGAAGAAGGTAGGAGCAGAAGAAGAAGAAGAAGAAGAAAAAGAAGGAAGAAGAAGAAGATGATAAAGAAGAAGAAGGTAGGAGCAGAAGAGGAAGAAGAAGAAGAAAAAGAAGAAGAAGAAGAAGAAAAGAAGAAGAAGATGGAGAAGAAGAAGAAAGAAGAAGAAGAAGAAGAAAAGAAGAAGAAGGTAGGAGCAGAAGAAGAAGAAGAAGAAGAAGAAGAAGAAGAAGAAGAAGAAGAAGAAGAAGAAGAAGAAGAAGAAGAAGAAGAAGAAGAAGAAGAAGAAGAAGAAGAAGAAGAAGAAGAAGAAGAAGAAAAAGAAGAGAAAGAACGACGATGAAAAGGACAGGACAAAAGACTAACTAGATTCAAGACTACAATTACCGCATTCAGTCGGAAACCATGTGCGTCCAAGCTTATTACACGACACCTGTTGATAATGATGATGATAATAATTATTGATGTTCAAAAAATATGTGTCTTTTTTAATCACATGTTTTCGTACGCTAATTCAGCCTGTGAGGAAATAACTTGTACACACAGCATGAGTGTAGACTGCCTTGGACGACCCGGAGAGTAGCAATATCAGGCACATGAAGACATATTGCATGATACGGGTAAATGTGTATAGATACATTTCAGCAATGTATGTAGCTCATGTCTCATGGAAGTACTGTTGCAAGGCTGTCCTCTGTCATGCTATGTCTTTATTGCTGTCCTAAAATAGAATTTAAGAAAAAAATAACATATTATGACACACCTGTTCTTTTACTGGTAACAACATGTTTACACAAAATCTATGATAATGTATTATATTTTTCTGTTTTTCACTATCATTATCATCATCACCATCCTCTCATCACCATTTTCAGCTCCCAAAACAGGCGATTACTGAAATAAGTTGTGACAATTAACACTAACAATCCCGACGTCTGTAAACAAAAAGAGCACTGGGTGTATGTCATACTTCAATGATATGTGCAATGGTTCATCTTAATTTATGTTATTGCTATTTACATTGTAATGAACAGACAATGTAATTTGTATATTTGATTTGAAAGGAGTCATGTTTGAAGCTACATTTTATGTTGATCTTACTCTGTAGTAACACACCTGATGAGATACAGAGACATATGCTAAGCAATAAATTGTGCAATGAATTATTTGTGTCTGCATTGTTTAAGATAATTAGTTCACCCAGATACATTTTGATACATACTGATAAGGCAACAACAGCAAAATATGGAACTCAAATTATATAGTTTTATAATCGATTTACGGTTTATTAATTGTAGCCTTATTTCAATTTAAACACATGCCTATGAAAGTAGAGAACCATAGTGGTGTAGTATAAAAGTTAAATACGTTGAAAAATGAATGCTCAACTCGTTCAGTCCCAAATAACGTGTGATGTGTAATTAGCCCTGCTGTGAATACCACTCAAAATGTAATATGTTCTAGTCCTTTTCAGAGTTAGTCACAATACTTTTAGAAATCTGGCTTCTCTAGTATTTCGCGTCTTTGAAAACCATACACTGGTTCCTTTTCCCATTTTTTCTTAAATAGATATGGAATCACTGGTAAAACTTTAGGACACAGATTTAAAGAAACTGACAAGCATTAAATGGGATGAGTTCATGAAAAGTGAAGACATATTAGAAACACCAGGACAATTGCTGGTAAAAAAAAAACAGTTATAAGACAAAGAAGATGACAAAATACGGGGCACAGGAGGAGAAACAATAACAGAATACCTAAACAAGCACCGAAATAGGAAACAAACGACTAGAGTAAACCAAGACGTCTAGAAAGACTAAGACACAAATTGTGATAGAGGTCAAAAGTGTTAGGTTGGGTTCAACCTACGATATTACAAACACTGCAACAGGATATAGGAGGAAGTAACAATTAAGTTTGAGCACTGTGTGGTGTCCAATGGCACAATGCTAAGGATGCTGATGATGATGAGAAGGACGAGGAGGATGGTGATGATAAGAAGAATGATGATGAAATCCAGGCGTAACTAAGAATCCCAGATATATTTAGAAAACTCACATTCATAAGTTTTTTTCTGGTCTAAATTACAAGTGGCAGACATGACATTCTTAGAGTCAAAGTCTCCATAAATTAATAACTATTTTTTCAACAGAGCCTTACCAGCGATATGGTAGCACTCTGTAACCTTGCCAGTTTGCTGCCGTTCAGGTTTGTAGTCTCACTCCAAATTCGAAGTCTTCTGTCCATCTTCGCTAGGGCGATTTCTGATTTGTCCTCAAGAGGAAGATCTCTTGCACTGCCGAGAATGGAAGAAACAACTATCAGCTAGAGACTTTTTGTGCTTTTTCTTCTCTTCCTCTTTTATCGCTTCGGATGTCGAAGGAGATACAAGATTGTGATCTTTGCTCTTCTGTCTGCCTCGACCATAGATACATAGTGTTGTAGCAGGGTTACTCTGATTTTATCTTTCCAACATGTTCTTGGTCTACCTTGTGTTCTATGTACTTTTCATTTGTTGTTTTATGCTTTGTATGGTATATTGTCACAAGGCAATCTCTACGTGGGGAAACCATTTGATGTGCTGAAGGGGATAATTAAACATTAGTGTGTATTGGTGAGATTAATTATTCACTGTTCATTTCAATATCATCTCCATATCAATTCGGGCATTCCCATAAGTGCTCAGATCTTCTTCTCAGCAGGTTCCTTAGCGAGTTTACGACACCTGTGCTGTATTGTCCTATGTAACGACTTACATGTTTTCACTTGTCGCTGTTCTGACTTGTGTGCCTAGACTTTGCATTCGCGTCAGAAAAGAAATCAACATGTTTATATTTAGGGTAACGACATGCTTTGTCTCTCCCATGGCATTATTTATGTCCGTTCTGTCCTTAGAGGGTCTATAGCCTAAGATGGTATTGCGTGCAAGTTATAATTCCATGCTTCCCAAGTATAAGGATGTCTAGACAGAACAAGTGATTCAAATAGTCTCAGTATCTCCGTGCCTCGGCTAACTCTCGTATTTGGTCTATCCACCTGTTTATCTCTCTGTCTCTCTAGCGTATCTTGGTGTGGCCTTGTCTGACCAGCGTTCTAATCACTGTTTTCTATCATACCACGCAGTGATGGACTGGCGTGCACTGATGCTGGTCTGAATGTATGCATTCTTTATTTAAACCCTGATATTAACCGCTTTTCCTATACAAGGTCACCTGAGCTCTCTGCCTTCTGCGATGAATTATCATACTCTTCTTCTTCTTTATTTTCTTCTTTATAGTCGCCGAACATTACTCTGACATTTTACACAGATAAAGAATTAAATAGTTCAGCCATCTAGTGAGAATGCAGCTAGACCAAATTGCATAGGAGGTTTTCCAGCAGAACAGCTGAGAGAAAGGCGAGAGGAGGACCAAGAGAGATATAGATAATTGGTCTAGCAAAAACCTGCTAAAAGATGAACAAATTTATCACTCAAGCCACCCGAGAAGCGTAAGACAAATACAGAAAACCACGACATAGGGCTACACCCTGGTATCCATAAGACAAAAGAAGAAGAAGAGAAGAAGAAAGAAGAAGAAGAAGAAGAAGAAGAAGAAGAAGAAGAAGAAGAAGAAGAAGAAGAAGAAGAAGAAGAAGAAGAAGAAGAAGAAGAAGAAGAAGAAGAAGAAGAAGAAGAAGAAGAAGAAGAAGAAGAAGAAGAAGAAGAAGAAGAAGAAGAAGAAGAAGAAGAAGAAGAAGAAGAAGAAGAAGAAGAAGAAGAAGAAGAAGAAGAAGAAGAAGAAGAAGAAGAACGGTACTCACCTGCTATAAAAAATATTCAAAAACAACTGTATGTAACCAGTAGAACTCCGTCAATATACACAGTCCAACACTTAATTAATTAGAGTGACTTTAATATGACCACAAAATATCGTCATCGGTGAAGCAAAACATGTCATCCAACAGGCACAAAGTAACTATTGCGAGTCCGGAATCATCATTATCCCGTAACACTGCGTGTCGTTGTGTCACCAGTTGCTGTTAGTCCCTGATCAGATCCCTCCATCTTTGACGGCGAGATGGGATGCTCTTCCTGGTTGCATGCCTAAAACCTGTCCAGTCAGTCAAGTTCTATATCCACGTCTTTCTTGACCTGCCTGTTCTCCTCTTCCCCCGCTACAGGGCCCTATAGTTTTTGAGAGGTCGTTAGATCTTATTTCATGACCATATCATTGCATTGTCCGCCTTTTCACTGTGCTTAGAAAAGGTTAATAGTTGCCAATGTGCTGGAATTCTGAATACCGCCAGAATATATGTGCACGAGATCAACAATAACCCATTAAAACTGCTCTCGTTAATTTAACTGTCTCATCAAAGCTTTGAAATCTAGAACATAATTTATTTAACGTTTGGTCATTGAGCAATGTTGTAAACGTAACTATACAACTTTCACTAGCTAAACGAAAAGGCCAGTTACTTGTCGTTTGCTGACCGGGCGGTGTTATCTTCTAGCCAAACAAAAGGCGAATGGTGCCCGTTTACATGTCCTGCTTTGCTTCGTGCTTGACGTTTTTGTTTTTGTTTTGGCCATAATAAAATCATTATCGCATTATTTAAAAATCGGACTGGGTATAAGTGGGACGCCTACCGTCATAAAGCACACAATTAAAACAAAAAAAAATCTAAGAGGTAATCAGTTATGTTATGTTATCGCAATAACCGTCTTTGCACAATGGGTATCACGGTGCGTCCTCGGTCCTAAGATGCCGCAGCCACTCCAAGGTACCTCTACTGATTGTTCCCATGAGACGTTGGTTATAGTATTTCTTGTCTTTACCTCGAAGATGACATAGACGTGCTTCACCAAGCCTAACTCTTCAGTTACACAGTCGTGTTGGCGTCAGAGATTCGCCATTATCCCCCAGTCTGGTCCGTACAGTGTTGATGATATCAGCTCTGTCCATGCTTCTTTCTGTTTGCATTGTTCTATTACTTGCCAGCTGGTCTGCTCTTTCATTACCATTTACTCCTGCTGGCCGAGGTGTGTAGATCCAGATGAGAGAAGTTAGGTGATCAATTGGTCAAAGTGGTAGCCCGAAGGGTTAAAAACACTGGGATTTCATATGAAAGACACAGGTTTGAATCTTCGGTAAAGTTATGAGTTTGTTTTTTACTGTCGGAGAAAGGGGGGGGGGGGGGGGGGGGGGGGGGGGGGGGGGGGGGGGGGGGGGGGGTGGGAGATAAAGTCCAAGCCTGAACAGTCCATGGAGACTGCCCCACTAATGCGGCCCTAAATTCTCGGGGTCATAGATTTCAACCTACACCGTACACATAGTTAAATCAGGCAGCAATGAGAGCAGACGCAAGCAGATGTACAAAACTGGTTCTTTATTAATATCTTACCCCCCAGATGACGTCACAGGACAGTCCAACATTTTATAGGGTGGTAAGACTGGGTTTCCCGGCTTTCTGATACTTTTAACGACCCCAAAACATCTAGAGCTGGCCCTAACTTCAACCCACCTACGTCCCACTAGAGAGTGCAGCCTAGGTCCCACGACTGCTTGCAGCCTATCTACCACCCCCTGAAATATTAGACTGTCCCGCGACCTGTGGATTTCCCCTGTTTGGGGTAGGATATTAATAAAGCACCCCAAAAACTTACTTTTCTGAGCCCATGTGTAGCTTTTTTAGAACACGCAAGACCTCTTCTTGTTCGACTGATTTGTTTGTGGCCTTCTCAGCTCCAAAGTGAGAACCTTTGGACTTTCCGTACTTACTCTTTCGTACCTGCGAGAAGGTACGAGAAATTACACAGACGCTGTATAGCGAACAGCTGAAAACGCATGTAAATTTACAGGCATTTACACCCACGTCTGAGAAAATCTACTGTATGGGGAGCAACAGCAGCAGCATCAACAGCCACAACAACAACAACCGCGATAACAATACCAGTAACGTGAGCTGCAGTAGCAACAAATCATTGTCTGAGAAAATTAACGAACATAAAATGGGATGAATTTAACAACAGTGAGGAAGTTGGAAAACTGTCTGGACGAATACCTGAATTGACCGCAATGAGACAAAGAAGGTGGAAATATATGTTGCACACTTTGAAACAAAATGAGCAAAGAGCTAAAAAAAAAAAAAAAAAACACAGGAACTCAAACTGGAAACAAACGGTCTGAGAAAAAGAGGACGTCAAAGGTAAAAATAAAGCAGAACATTACAAGTCCTAAGTGACAACTAACGGCACACACAAGATGATTATGATTCAAATCAAACCACTCGCGTGCGCACGCACACTAACACAATCATATACATTCTAAAAAAATAATATTTAATATCTGTGCATGTCCTGTTCTCTTACTTTCAAGAAAACAACAATAGAAGGAATCAACAATAGACACACTAGATCCCTCAAGCATGTCCTGAACGTTGACTAATTAGAAGTCTTTTCTTCTCTGCCTGAGAGAAGAGGGTCACCAATCTTCATGCAGATAAGTCCGAACTGTAAAACGGATGTGCATTCGAAACTCAAGGTGTGGAACAAGACCAAAGACCAGCAACGGAAACAATCAGTTGTTTTCTGCTGCAGTTTACAGCCGGTAAACGCTAAGAAGAAGAAGAAGAAGAAACAGGAAAAGAAGCAAAATTGATGAAGATGATGATGATGAAGAAGAAGAAGAAGAAAAAGAAGAAGAAGAAGAAGAAGAAGAAGAAAAAGAAGAAGAAGAAAAAGAAGAAGAAGAAGAAGAAGAAGAAGAAGAAGAAGAAGAAGAAGAAGAAGAAGAAGCAGGAGAAGAAGCTAAATTGATGATGATGATGATGATAATGAATAATAATAATAATAATAATAATAATAATAAAAATAATAATAATAATAATAATAATAAGAAAAAGAAGAAAAATCAGCAATAGCAATGAAAGCAGTAACACACTCACAAACTTCAACAGCAATAACAACAGCAGTAATAATAGCAGCTACATTGGCAGTGCGCGCGCACGCGCACACACACAAACACACACACACACACAGAGTCACACATACACCAAAAACAATCACTACAACAATAACTACAAAAACAACAATATCATCAGTTCTATAAAAAAGCATGCTGTAGCCACAACAACCAGCACCATACCTCCTGCAGGACGTGTCCATCCATAAGTTTCATGTTGAGGAATTTGAGAAAGGCCACATCGGCCGGGTCACACTGGTACATGTACAGGCACAACTTATTAGCCAGACTCTCCTTCAGCATGTCCAAAGTCGTAGCCGCGAACCTTTTCTTGAAAGTCTTCTCGAACTGGGATCTCTTCAAGCTCATGAGCTCACACTCGCCATGGGACACGGCCGTTTCTATAAATGAATCGAGGTTGAGGATGACTTCTAGGGACCCTGTGGTTTTTAAAGTGGAATCAGTTTCAGTAAAAGAAGTTAAGGACCACACAGGGTGTATTTTCCAATTCTAGTTGTTCAACAAAAATTCAAAATGTGATCCTTTTTCAGCAGATAGGAGGCCTACTAAATGAAGGAAGGTGCCTTGTCTATCTTATTTGGTTTCCTATTCTTTGTGGTGTGAAGTCACACTTGATATTTCTGTTCTTTGTCTTCCTAAGTCCAGTATTGTACTCGGGGTTCTGGGTCTGGTGTCCCAGGGCATATGCTACTAGAGCTATATTTATAGACCCATTTTCATTCGATGGACAGTGATGTGAGCATAACACCGACCGCCTTTACCTTCCAGTATAATTTATGGTACACATTTTAGGCATATAAATAGAACTGCCTGGTAGTTTACCAAACCATTATGTACAACAGCAGAAGGACAACAGAAGTCGCGACCCAAAGAATGGCTAGCCACCTGCCGAGATCGTGAACTCCGTAGATCCGGTAATGATCTCCTGGATCTCAGTAAAAACTGCGCTCGTGAATCGAACGACACAGCCGCAAAACAATGAACCCACAACCTACATAGTGCGAAGCGAACAGTTTTCCCACTTCGCTAAGGAGACCCGCTATGAGACCATGGTATAGTGCTCTTCCCGAAGAAAACACAATTAAATGTTATAATATAGCGAGTTGATGAAGTTGATTATTGTGATTGATATGGAAATTTTATTATAAACATATTATAAACATCCAAGTGCGAAAACAAAACAAAACAATAAGTCAAATAAACTTGCTGGTAAACAAAACAAGATGGCGGGACACCTTTTTCTTTCGTTAGCATGAAAACAGAAATGAACACCACCTTGTACAATGTATTGGAACAGGCACACAAACGATCGTTTCATCCCCACCAACACCTCGATGAGGTAAATGGTGGAAGAAAAGAAGAAGAAGAGGAAGCACAGGATGTGTTTTTTCCAACCAGATATGTGTTTAATGAAAGATACTGAAAAAAAAGAACATTCAAGAAATCGTCCAGCACTGCCCCAGGCCTCAAGGGCATCCACCATGCTGCAGATTGTAGCGGATGCTATAACAGACCCGGAAGAAGAGCTCAAGTCAGCATCAAAAGGTTGCTACCCACACTTGGAGGGTACAGACGTAGCGAAGAGACATGGCTCAAAGCAGCAGTTTTCTCCACGGTTTGGACTTTTAAAAAAAAAATAGGCACCAAATTATCGAGAAAAAAACAAGAAATGCCAGTTGGACTTTAAACCTGATAAAACCAAGCAAACAAAACGAATATGCATATAAAAAACCTCGGAATTAATAGAAAGTAGGTAATGTGGGTGGGAGGGGAGGGGGCTGTGGGGTGACCCATGCACCCATCCTTTCCCCTAGCAAGCCGATTGTAAAAAAAAATGAAAACACCGACTAAACTGGGGTTTGCTGAAATCAGATTAGGCTGAAAGGCGCAGATATCACAGCCTAGCTGTAAACTCCAACCTAGCATACCAATCACCTTGTTAAGATCGAATGCAGAAGAACGAAAAAAAAAAAAAAAGACGTTCACTAAGTAAACATGAATCAGACAGAGCAATCAGTTTTAAGAGAAATGAATTTACCAATTGTTTCATTAGCGCCCAGAATACACACTGACAGTGAAGCCCGTCTCGACATTCTTTCCTTTCGTATGATGTGAGGTGGTCGAGTGTCTTGTGGGTTTCTGTGAGAAGATAAAACTACAGTCAAGGACTCTTTTCCATGCCTTCAACCGTACTGGGCATATAGGGCTAGACTTATATTTTATAGACCAATCGGCACTTAGTTGGAGATGTGGTCAACATGACGCCGGCCGCCTTTACTTCACCAGACTTTACCTTGTATCTGTTTAAGGCTGGGACGACCTAGGAGCCAGAGTCATTTCTGGAAAAAGAAAAAATTATCTGGAACCGTCACGACCTGAACCCACGACCTTCAGATTCTCAGACGAGCGTCTAGCCGCTACACCACATCGCCCACCCGGTGAGAATATATGATCACAATTTTTAGTAGTTGTCACAGAGATAATTCGGAGCCGTGTTAGTGTAGCAGTTAGATGCTTGTCTGCCAGCCCAAAGGTGCTGGGTTCCAGTCCCCACGGAGTCGATATATATATATATATATATATATATATATATATATATATATATATATATATATGTTTTTTTTTTTTTTTGGGGGGGGATACTTTGGCTCCCATGTCGACTTAGCCTACAGTGGTTACCAGGTAAACTCCTGGGAAGTGAATGCGGACAATCTGAATATTTATCAAGTGCCGATCGGTCTATATACACATGAGACTATAGTCATGTGTCTGTAACGCCACTGACATGACAAGGTTACTTTTTATACATGTAAAAGCGTTGTCGATAACTTCAAAATCATGGCCTAATTTCCTTGTGTGTTTTGAGGAAAGTCTATGAGTCTAGTTTAAAAGTTTATGGAAATCAAAATTAGAATTTTGAGACCATGCATCTTCCATGTGGCTAAATACGAATGTGAGTCGTGGACTATCTCTCAGTCCTTAAGAAAGAGAATAGGAGCTTTTGAGCTAAAAGGCTATAGAAAGATTCTCAGAATATCTTGGACAAAGAATAAGAGAAATATTGACATCTTAAAAGATCTAAACATCAAGGAAGATTGGCTAATAAACAGCATCCTTTCTCGAAAGCTGAAATATTTTGGTCATATCAAGCGCCACGACGGTTTGGAAAAAATTATAGCAGAAGGCATGGTACCAAGAAGGAGGGGCAGGGGCCGACCGACACGAAGATGGGCACAGGATAAAAGTGACTTCTTGAGTTTGAAAGTACATGAGGTGGAAGTTTTTTTCAGGCAGACTATGATGAGAGCGACGTTCTGCAAAGGACCTGCTACGTGATGATGATGATGATGTTTTGAGGAGATGGCGGTAATGTGGAGGTATACATTTTACTCGTATACATAGTCGTATACTGCCAAACATCATTTTCTGTAACGTTTCAACTAATTTACATCGATCTCTCTCCCTCTCTCTCTCTCTCTCTCTCTCTCTCTCTCTCTCTCTCTCTCTCTCTTTATATATATATATTTATTTCTCCTCTCTCTCTGTCTTTTATATATATATATATATATATATATATATATATATATATATATATATATATATATATATATATATATATATATATCTTCTCCTTGACTTTCCAGCTTGCTTTCTTTCTCGCTCTATCTTAAATTCGTCTCTCTTACTCTTTTTTGTGCTCTTCGCTCTCTCTGCCACTTGCCTCTCTGGTTCTCTGACATTAGCGAGGACCTCAAGCCCTTTCTCTCAACTCCCACTAGTTCTCATCTTCTCATCTTTCGATTTTTTTTTTCCCTTAGCATGTCGCTCTCTGAGGATGGTGCCTCTCTGTCTCTCTCTTGTTTCTTCCTTACGTCTCTGACTCCCCAATCCCCTCTCTGACCTATCTTCCTCTATTCTCGGCCACCCTTCTCCCTTTAGGGCACTCTCAATTCTCATTTCACCTTTTCTGTTTCTCTATAAAGCTGTTTCTACTACCTCTACCTCTGTTTTCTCTTTCTCTGTGATGCTCTTTGTACTCCCTTTTCCTCTGTTTTCTCTTTCTCTGTGATGCTCTTTGTACTCCCTTTTCCTCTGTTTTCTCTTTCTCTGTGATGCTCTTTGTACTCCCTTTTCCTCTGTTTTCTCTTTCTCTGTGATGCTCTTTGTACTCCCTTTTCCTCTGTTTTCTCTTTCTCTGTGATGCTCTTTGTACTCCCGCTCCCCCTGTTTCTCTCTCTCTTTCTCTTTGCTATGTTTATTCTACTCCTTTTCCCTCTGTTTCTCTCTTTCTCTGCGATGCCCTTTCCACTCCCTCTCCCTGCGTTTCCCTTTCTCTGTGATTCTCTTTCTACTTAATCTTCCTCTGTTTTTCGCTATTCGGTCCTCATTTTTTACTTTCCTTCTCCTTTTCTGTGTATTTCCCCTCGCCGAGGTCTATTTACTCCTGGCCTGGTTGTGGACCCCATCGTAACTTCCAGTCTTCTCCATCGTCATATGACATAAACACTAAATGCATAAAATAATTTTTTTACAGAAATTAAAATCAAATAAAACCATGATATGGCTAGCACTTACACTTTGACCAATTCTGGGAGCAAAGTCTTCAGCTCCGAATAGATCTGTGGAAACTGCTTCTGGTACTGTTTAGCGTCCAGATGAATCTCTACGTCACCTCTGTGGGCAAGAGTCAATGACCGATTCATATTGAGAGTCCAGTAATAAGGGCACAAGTAATAACACCCTCACAGTAATGTTTGGCTGAGTTGAACTTTTACGTTTGTGTGAAGTCGTGATTTTTGTGTGTGGGGTTTTTCTTGTTTTAGATTTTCATACTTGCGAGTCCTACAATTAAATATTAGGGTAATCGAGAATGATTGCCGGATTTTTCAAAATTTAATAATATAAATATTAGGGTAATCGAGAATGATTGCAGGGATATTTAGACTGTTATAATTTGAAAATTAGGGTAATCGGGGTAATCGAGAATGATTGCAGGGATTTTTAGACTGTTATAATTTGAAAATTAGGGTAATCGAGAATGATATCCGGAATTAGTAAACTGTTATATTTTTTAAAAAAAAATGTATATGTGTGGCATCCCAAAGTTTTCCGAAAAGTAAAAATTGTGTGTGTGACCATGTGTGACATGAGGCAAAACATGGCGATAAAAAGAAAGGCAACACACAGCACGATAAAGAAAGAATCTGGCTGAAATTTCAGCCCTAATTCCAGAAGACGTTGCGATCGATTGAAAACCATGTAGGCTTCGGCAGAGCTACAAAAGGCGCCCTTTATTGAAGCTTACTAAGGCAAATCTAAAATTTTAAACTTTTCTGAACACTTTAAGACGCCACACGTTTATATGTATTAAACACTTCTTTTATATTAACAGTTTAAAAACCTGGCAATCATTCTCGACGACCCTGTATTTGTTGTTAGGACAAATTTAACAATCTACTCTTTAGACTTCTGCTCCGTTTTCTCCTCCCTCTAGCATTTCTTCTTCTTCTTTTTCTCCTCTTCCTCCTCCTATAATCTTATTCTTCTCCTCCTCGTCTTCCTCCACATCATCATCATGTAGAACGTATTTCTCATCATGGTCTGCCTGAAAGAAACGCGGTCTCTCGTCAGCTGTCCCATCTCGTATACTTTCATATTTGAGTCACTTATACCTTTCTTCGTGTTGGTCGGTCTCTCCTCATCCTCCACATTCTTCCATATTTCAACATCCAGTGTAGCCTAGAACCTCATCTATCACACATTAAACCTTTTGTAATCATGGCCACAGATATTTGGATTTTACAGCTAACTGTCATCAAGATAAGGTAGCCTGTCTTACGTCTATCTCCTTGCTCGTGTCTTGCGACAGTCATGCATTAATTAAATAATTAATCCAGAATTAATGTCATTGCACTCGAGACAGTCCCATACGGACTTATTCTCATTACTCAGTAGCAAACGAAGAGTCGACATGCTAATAGTAAAACGCAACATTATTAAAATACCGCCTGTTTTCTCGCCGTGTTGAATATCTTCTAGAACCTCCACTTACCCCCGTTCAGTTAGCCTCTCACTGTATGAATTATCTATATATAATGTTGCATTTTTCACTTGGTCCGTTTACAGCATTCATAAAAAAATGCAGTGTTACTAGTAGAGTCGGCTCTGTGGCTAAGTCGATGCGAACGCTTCGTAATGCCGGGATGCCGGGTTCGATCCCAGCTGCGGGTCATGCGCCTTGCGTTGGTTTTGACAGTGGTATCAAGCAAGGCGACCGTCCATAAAGCAATAGCAAACCACTGGAAGTAAATTTGCCTAGGAAAACCATACAACATCCAGGGGCTGTGGGGTTGGTTCTGCAACGTCCTGTAAAGGATACGCAACTAACCTGTGTTACTAGTAGCTGTGTTCTTTATGGAATCTTCTAAAACACAGGTTAAAAAAAGGCGGGGGGGGGGGGGGGGGGGCAGCAGAGGATAGGGTAGCATGTGGGTTCTAGGGCCTCAGTTTAGGGCAACAAAAATATAGCCACTGTTCTCACAAAGCATTTCATAGAAAGCAAATAATTAGGGGTTTGTTGAAACTGAATGTGTTGAGCTGGAGGTGCCGATATCACAGCCTAGCTGTAAATCATAAGACAACTTTAAAACAACTTAAAATGGCGTTCCACATAAAGACGAAAGAAAATTTATAAGTAAAAGTAAAGATCTCTTTTCAAGCCCTAAGCGCATCAGGGCATTTTGGAAGAGCACCTATATTTTTACAGACCAATCGGCACTAGGTGGCTAATGTAATCAGCATTACACCGACCGTCTTTGCTTCCCCAGGACATACATCCGGGTACCCATTTTAGGCTTGGTTGACCTGCGACGCCCCATACCACGATACAAAGTCCATGCAGCCAGCAGTGGGTTTCAATCGCGGTACGTTGGAATTACGAGTCGAACTCACAACGCTTAAGCCACGGACGCTGCAAAATGTATAAGTGCTACATATGTAAAAGAACACAACACGTAACAGTTCAATTTTACAAGGTAGGGTGAGCACATCACATGTCTATCCGTATTGACAGAGGTAAAGGCAACAACAGAAGAACAAGTGAACCAGACATGATGCTTTACTTGTAGACGAAGTGAACAGCATCGACCTCTTGTCCCTGCCTTGCCAGTTTTTCTCCAAATCCAACTCTCGATTTCCTCATGCTGATTATGAGCTGGTTTTTCTGACGTTGTGTCCAGGATCTTTGAAGGAGAACGGAATGAAAATATGATCTATTGTATCTCAATCTCTCTGTGCGTGTGGGTGTATGTGTGTTTTGTCTGGTGGGGGTTGTGTTTGCTTGAAGGTATTATGTATGTGTCTACATGTTGTGTATATATGTATGTCATGTGTCTTAGAGTTCGTATGCCTGTGTATGTAGTGGCGGTGTCTGTGCCTACATGTTGTGTATCTGTGTTTGCACTATGTCTTTGAGTGCGTATGCCTGTGTATATAGTGGCGGTGTCTGTGCCTACATGTTGTGTATCTGTGTTTGCAGTATGTCTTTGAGTGTGTATGCCTGTGTATATAGTGGCGGTGTCTGTGCCTACATGTTGTGTATCTGTGTTTGCACTATGTCTTTGAGTGCGTATGTCTGTGTATATAGTGGCGGTGTCTGTGTCTACATGTTGTGTATCTGTGTTTGCACTATGTCTTTGAGTGTGTATGCCTGTGTATATAGTGGCGGTGTCTGTGTCTACAGGTTGTGTATCTGTGTTTGCAGTATGTCTTTGAGTGTGTATGCCTGTGTATATAGTGGCGGTGTCTGTGTCTACATGTTGTGTATCTGTGTTTGCAGTATGTCTTTGAGTGCGTATGCCTGTGTATATAGTGGCGGTGTCTGTGTCTACATGTTGTGTATCTGTGTTTGCACTATGTCTTTGAGTGCGTATGTCTGTGTATGTAGCGGTGATGTCTGTGCCATCATGTTGTATATGTTGGTATGTGTTGTGTTTTTTCGCTTTGTATGATTTGTCTGTGTATGTGTTGTGTCTGTGTGTGTTTTGTGACTAGGGTATATGTGGGATGTCTGTGTATGTGTTGTGTCTGTGTGTGTTTTGTGACTAGGGTATATGTGTGATGTCTGTGTATGTGTTGTGTCTGTGTGTGTTTTGTGACTAGGGTATATGTGTGGTGTCTGTGTATGTGTTGTGTCTGTGTGCTTTTTGTGTCTGGGTACATGTGTGGTGTCTGTGTACGTGTTGTGACTGGTGTGTTTAATGTCTCTGTATGTGTTGTGACTGGCGTGTTTAATATATGTGTCTGTGTGTGTTTTGTGACTAGGGTATATGTGTGGTGCCTGTGTATGTGTTGTGTCTGTGTGCTTTTTGTGTCTGGGTACATGTGTGGTGTCTGTGTACGTGTTGTGACTGGTGTGTTTAATGTCTCTGTATGTGTTGTGACTGGCGTGTTTAATATATGTGTGTGTGTGTGTGTGTGTGTTGTGTCTGGCTATATGTGTAGTGTTTGTGTATGTGTTGTGTCTGTGTGTTTTTTGTGTGTGTCTGGCTATATGTTGTGTCCATGTGTGTTTTGTCTCAGTAGATCTTGTGTCTGTGTGCGCATTTTCGTGTCTGTAACAGTGTTAGTGTGTGTGTGTGCGCGCGCGCGCTCGCATGTTTGTGTCTGTAGGATTCCTTCGCTTGTGCGTCTGCCACGTGTGTGTGTGTCTGCCTTGCGTGTACTTTTTGCATGTATATTTGAAGTTATGATATATATATATATATATATATATATATATATATATATATATATATATATATATATATATATATCAAGCATATGATGTTAAAATACACAAACTTATAGTATAAATGTAAATTAAAATGCAAAACAACATGGATGGTAAATGCATAACTTTAAATATGCATGCAAAAAGTATACACAATGCAGACACACACGTGGCAGACGCACGAGCGAAGCAATCACACACACACACACACACACACACACACACACACACACTAACACAGACACGAAAGTGCACACACAGACACAAGATCTACTTATATATATGTGTGTGTGTGTGTGTATATATATATAATATAATTACCCTGTAAAAGATGACTGTTTAAAAGGGCCGAATGTAAGACGTGTCTGAGTGTCTCTGCGAACCTCTTTGTCTCTGTGTGCTTCTTTCTCTATTTCTTTACCCTCAAATGTCTCTCTCTCTCTCTATCTCAGTGCGTCGCCCTGCTTCTGTCTTTCTTTCTTTCCTCCATTCTTTTCTCTCCTTTCCCCCTTGACCCTCTATCTCTCTTTTAGTCTCTCCTCTTTCTCTACTTTTCTTTCTGTTAATATCTGTTTGTCAAACGATCCTTCTCACTCTGTTCTACTTATATCTTTAAATCTTGTTTAATTCTCTGACTCTCTCTCCTCTCTCTCTCTCTCTCTCTCTCTCTCTCTCTCTATCTATCTATCTCTCCCTGTCTCATTTTTGTCTGTCTGTGTTTATGTCCGTGTCTGTCGTTTCTTATTTCTATCTCTATCGATGTATCTATTCTCTTAACATCTGTACTCTTCCCCCCTCTCTCCGTCCCTCTCTCTCTCTCTTTTCTCTCTCTACCAGTCTTTTCCTCTGAGTGTATTTTTCAAGCTCGATGTCTCTCCTAACTTCTCTTTGTCTCTCCGCCCCCTCCACACCACCCCCCCCCCCCAAATCCCCTGATCAATGTTTACATTACTTTATAAGCTATAATACAACGTGAACTAACTTAAAAAGTGGATTCCTTTCCACAAACAAAGTTTTGTCCTGGAATTCCTTTTCGATAAACTCCTTGACCGAGACACTGTAGAGGGCTCTGTCTATGACCAGACAATCACACGCAGATGTCGCGATACAGCTGGCAGTTCGCATGCAGTTGTCATTGACCAGCGCCACTTCTCCGATACATGAGCCTTCCACTGTCAAATAGACATTAGAAAGCTCAAGTATACACTAATGAGTAAAATAAAATATATATTGTAATACTTGTGTTTAGAGTACTAACGCTCAGGGGGGCCGCGTGGTCTCGAGACCGCGACCACTCGCCTCGAGTGCTTGAGGTTCCTGGTTCAATCCCTGGTAAGGGCTAGGATTTTTTTTTTTTACGTAGACTTGGACTTCTTGTATTTACCCTGGTCTCTGGGTAGTGAGATCGGACGCCCGTGTGCATTGTTGCGCAAGTAAAAAAAAAAATCCCTTGGCAGATGGAAATCGAAAAGAGTAGCCTAACGGCGCTGCCCGGGCAAAATTGAGAGTTGAAAATCTACCCAAAGAATTTCGGGGTCCTCTCCGGTGCTACAGAGCCTGTGTTGAGCTAGAAGGAAGAACGGTGCACTTATGGGTTACTACCCGTGTGTCATGATGTTGAACCGTTGTTCAAACTTCAAACTTTAGAGCACTAACTGTCATTTTTTTTAACACGTGAAATGTTCACATTAACTTCCGAATTTGACAGGAAAGTAATAGCACAAAAGCTCCTAGAAAGATGACGTCAGCATTTTTAACAGTCTACTTAACTAAGAGTCAAAGTAACAATCCATAACACAAGAAAACAACAGCTACATAAACGAAAATTTGAAACCAAGCATAACAATTGCAGAAATAAGAAAAAGCTATAGAAGGAGGCATCTTTCAACAAAACCACACTTACGAAATACCTTTCATCCGATCCTTTAATACTTGTCCTCATGTTGTGGCAACCCTTTAATACAGTTCTTCCTGTTGTGGCGACCCCCAACTATACACACAATTTTTTGCTGCTTCATAACGTCAACAAAATGGTTTTCCGATGGTTTTAGGCGACCCTTGTGAAAGGGTGGTTCGACCCACAAAAAGTTCGCGGCCCACAGGTTGAGAACTCCTGGTGTAGCGGCTAGACTATAGCCTGCGGATCTGAAGTTCGTGGCTTCAAGTCCTAAAGGAACCTGCCAGTCTTCAAAATGACCTTGGTTCCTTAGTAGACACAGCCTTGAGAGGGTACTAGGTGCAGTCTTGGGAAGTAAAGGCTGCCGGCGTAATGTTGACGACATTGCCCACAAAGTGCCGATTGGACTGTAAAATATAGGTCAACCTGGTATGCCCAGGACGCCTGAAGACGTGGAAATGGGTCCTTTATTTTTTTTTTAAATATAAAGTTTCACACAACACGTAACGATGAGTTAAAGTAGAAATTTGTAACGGCGCTGGAAAAAAAAAACCATAATTGTTGATTGTTGAATTAGAAATCGACATTACAGCTCTCGTGACACTTCCTAAAGTGCTCCGTCCCCATCTTTAGCAGCAAGCGAAGAGTTCCAATTCCGATTGCATCAGTAATTGTCTGTATATCCGTCTCGCCTTTCCCCTAAGCGGTGAGCGTCAGCCAGATCCTCTGGTAACTCCACTCAGCGGCATTCTCCTTAGACAAAAATGATCTATCTGCGCCTGTTCATATCACCAATTCACCACCAAGTAGTGCAGAGCCGGCCAGTCTATCTGCCTGCTATTTTCCCGACAAACCGACATAACCTGGAGAAAATACCCAAAGGATGCTAACTACCCCAGACCTCTAAAGTGATGCTTGCCACTCTGCACAAAGCAACAACAACAACAACAAAAAACAAAAATAATTGCCAGCGTTAAATTAAAGCCAGTGAATAAATACAGCTACCTTTCTGAGCAACCTCGTTGCCGAAGTCATTTTTATTAAACTTTTTCTTTTCCAGAGCTGCTTCGACCCTGAGTAGACACTCGCGTTCATTCTCGGTCTCAAAGATGACATGGACACCTACAGTTCCTCGAAGAATAGCGTACATGCTGTAGACATATCAACATATGTTATTTAGCTCTCATTGTCATACAGAAGAGTTAAACTGAAAGCGTGTTCTGTAGAGCCATGTTATGTAATCATACAAACATGGGCATTTTCTAAACCCACATCTAAATCACAACCATCGAGATGAGATCTTCTTCTTCTTCTACTTCTTCTTCTTCTTCTTCTTCTTCTTCTTCTTCTTCTTCTTCTTCTTCTTCTTCTTCTTCTTCTTCTTCTTCTTCTTCTTCTTCTTCTTCTTCTTCTTCTTCTTCTTCTTCTTCTTCTTCTTCTTCTTCTTCTTCTTCTTCTTCTTCTTCTTCTTCTTCTTCTTCATCATCTTCTTCATCATCTTCTTCTTCTTCTTCTTCTTCTTCTTCTTCTTCTTCTTCTTCTTCTTCTTCTTCTTCTTCTTCTTCTTCTTCTTCTTCTTCTTCTTCTTCTTCTTCTTCTTCTTCTTCTTCTTCTTCTTCTTCATCATCTTCTTCATCATCATCTTCTTCTTCTTCTTCTTCTTCTTCTTCTTCTTCTTCTTCTTCTTCTTCTTCTTCTTCTTCTTCTTCTTCTTCTTCTTCTTCTTCTTCTTCTTCTTCTTGGTCTTCTTCAGCATTCCGAGCCCTTGGGGTTTATTGCTGCAGATATCCCCGCGTTCATTCATCTCTCTGGTTGGCCTTCTCTTTCCAGTTGGTGACACCAAGTGTTTGCAGGTCTGTCTGGATCTTATCTCTCCATCGTCTTCTTGGTCTGCCTCGTGCTCTACGACCATTCATCTCCCTTGTGTATACAGTTTTTACAGTTTTTTAGGTTTTTTTACAGTTTTTTTTTTATAAGGTAGAAAACCGACAAAGAGAGACACTCTGGTTCTCCAGGTTGGTGGTTGAAGCTTGTGGCCGACACCCCTACCTTCGTAAAACTTTTATCTCGTCACGAAACAGATATCTAAGCCTGCGTGATGAGATGGCCGAAAAAGGAATAAGCCAGCAACCTAATAATCTGAGAACCATTGTATAGTAGACAGTATTCGAAAGCAACAGCATGTACTAGATTCATCAAGAAAGTGATCACGTGGTTCGGTCATCCCATCAGAATGCAGCAAACATAGAAACATAGAATACTATCACAGGTACTGCATCTTAGAAGATCAGCAAACAGGATCAAGAGGACGAAAACAAAAAAATCGATCGACAACATTAAAGACACATCACGCCTTTACGGCATGACAATAGCCAATGTCAGCCAGCCTGCTACGGATCGCAAATTATTCCACCCCACGTTGCTTAACGGCAGAATTGGTTTAGGATGTTGATGATGATGAGTTAGATAATGACGATGATGTTGATGTAATAACTATAAACTTAACGGTATATTTGTTATTCCGTGTGTGATCAGTCCACACACAGCAGCCACTCCAGTGTAATTCTGCTAAACACGATATGGTAGCTATCTGAAAGCCGCCGTGGTGAAGCGTCTAGCGCTTGTCTGCAATTCAGAAGGTCTTGGGTTTAGGTCCTGACGGAGACGGAGAGTTTTTCCCCTTCAGTTATGACCTTGGCTCTCAGGTCGACCCAAACCTTGAACAGGTACCAGATACAGTCCTGGGAAGTAAAGACGGCAGGCATGATGCTGACCACATCACCCACCCAGTGCCGATCGGTCTATATAATATAGGTCTAGCTGTGAATTCGTAATACGCCTGAATGGTGAAGAATGAATCTTTCCATTACAATATGGTAGCTATTCATTTACTACGTTTTGTTGTAGACCTGTGCCATCTCGTAACTTTAAATCTTTACCCACCATTGTCACTATCATCATGTGTTTAGCGAAAAGGCCTTCGTGTTTACATCTTTTCGGTTTTTTCTATTTCCTAACGTTCACCGGTTGTCATCTCTGGCGGAAGGTTCTGGTAGTTCGTCCACTTCTAAACCTTGGTCTTGCTCAACATCTCAATTTTTGCATGTACATATATTTTTTCAGATCTTGTTTATTTCTATGCAGATTGTTGGGTCCTTGCCTCTTAGGCTGGTGCACCGATTTTGAAGGACCTCTCACCCCATGACCCCAACCCCAAATTATTAATCTTTTCACCAAGCTTGATAGGGGGCAGTTTGTCCATTCATTCCCCTCCCTAAAATGGGGCCCCGGAACCCACATGAGAAATGTCTCACTGTGAATATACGATGCTGGTGTTCGCGACTGGGGCGCCATAGAAAGAAAAATGATGAGTACTAACAAATATACAAGAAATATATACTAACAAATGGTCACAGCTGTCTACTAGCAAATCAAATGAAATAGAACATTTAACTGACTGCAACAAAGGACTCACCTGTCCCCTGTATCTCCCTGTTTGATGAACACAGTTTCAGGAGCAATCTTCAAGAACTTGCATCGCTTGATAATCTCCCTAATGAGTTCTATGAAAATAGCAAGTCTAAAATTGTCTTATCAATTTTAATCATGTGTTCTCTACATATGATACTAACAATACAGGGAAAGGAAATAAACTCCGGCCACATACAAGTCTATAATATGAAAATCAAACAAACGGAAACATATAAGTACTTGGGTGCAAACTTCAACTGCTTCAACATGCTGGGAGAAAAAATACTATCTACAATAAATTCTTAAAATAAGGTAAACTATGCCCTTCAACGTCTGCTAAAGTCAATGTGTCTTTCCAAGATCAAAATATATAAAATGTTGATAAGACAGTCGTGTTAAACGGCTCTGAAACTTTGGAGCACAACTAAAAGAGATGAAGCCTTATTACAGGTTTTCCAAAACAGAGTTTTAAGACGAATCTTTGGACCCATCAATGGAGAGTGAGAAGCAAAAACGAAATTCATAATCTGTTTCAATCACCACTGATCACTGGCATCACGAGAGATAATAGACTGAAATGGTTGAGGCATATTGAAAGAATGTCAGATGACAGAGAGGTAACAACTGTATACACAAGAGAGATAAATGGTCGTAGACCACGAGGCAGACCAAGAAGACGATGGAGAGATAACGTCCAGACAGACCTGCAAACACTTGGTGTCACCAACTGGAAAGAGAAGACCAACCAGAGAGATGAGTAGAGGCAGGTGATAACTGAAGCAATCAGCCTCAAGGGCTCGGAATGCTGAAGAAGTAAAAGAACTCTACACAAGGTTTCTAAATATTCCGATGAATATGATTTTGACAATAACAGCAGAGGTCTATCGTGTGATCATCATCATCATCATCATCATATACTGTGCCGATAAGCGTAGGTTGTTATGTGTTTCTATTTCTCAGTCACCAGAATGACGAATCAAGTCAGCGCTCTTGTATCGCCGTGTTCATGTGGCCACGAAATCTAGGTTTTTAACTCTTGACCTTTCCCTTGTTTTTTTTGTTTGTGTTTTTTTTTTTTCCATATCAATTGTCCCAGCCTTCACTAAGTTCTCGAGTAAATTCCTTCTCATCATATATATAAAGACTACCTCTGTCCATTTATTCTTAAAAGTTTACGACTTCTATGGGACTCAATGTGGATTATCATTCCATGAAATTCTTTTCATTCTTTTCACAGGTCAGTCTTCGCTACAAGCAAATATTTTTCTGCTTGTCCGCTGACTTTCCATGTCTTACAATCATATAACCACGCCCTTTTGTAGCTATAAATTTATAGTCTAAAGATGGACGTGATAAAACAAATCATATTCTTCACAGCACACTCATTCTCAGTCGTACGTGTCGGATATATTATAGAAGGTTCAGAGAAATCTGCCTGAAAGACGAATAATCAATAGTATACATACAAATAAGCTCATGTTTGTCAAAGGGCTGTCTAGGAAAAACTCAGGTTCTGAAACGAGACTAAAGTCTAGAAGCGAATGAACAACCAGAACTTTCCACCGAAGTTTACAGCAAAGACAAAGAAAAAACGCTAGGTATTCTGATATACGGTTTAGCTTTTCCCTGCATATCAGCTGACCATCGAAAGTCTTATTCGCGTTCATTGGTTGTAAACTCTGGCTTAAAGTTATGGTTGTTCGTCCACTTCTAGACTATAGTCCTGTTACAGAACCTAAATGTTGCGTGCACATCCTTTTCACAGGTTCGACTCATTTGTATGCAGACTGTTAGTTACTTGCCTCTCATGCAGTTCTACCCCGACTTCACAGGAAGCTACCTTTTAGTCGAGTGCGTGAAATTCTTAGCTCCAGCAAAATACTTAGACGATCTTTAAATCTTTAAAACATTTGTAAGCAATCAACTAACTAAATACAATTATAAGAACAAGAAGCAAAGGGCTTCACTACTTCTCCGCAGATACCACCAGACATTAATGCTAAAGTTTGTAATGAGCTCTTACTTGAAGGTGGCGTCTGTGACATAGGCGTTGCTAAGGCGCTTCGTAATGTCGGGGTGCCGGGTTCGATCCCAGCTGCGGACGGTTTGTCTTGCGCTGGTTTTGACAATCCTACTAAGAGCTGACCGTTCAGGGGCAATGGCAAACTACTGAACGTAACATTTGACTAGAAAAACCACAACAGCCAAACAAATTTAGGGATGGTTCTGCAACGTCATGTAAAGGATACACAGATAGCTAACTTGTTTTGTTACTTGAAATACCGAACAGTGTAGTCCAAAGTATACAATAGAGTAGGTCGCATTTTGGGGAACCAAAAACAATCAAATGAATAGTTTCTGGAGAGAGCAACTGAAAAAGAGAGTTGATGAAAGATATTAAAAGACAGGCAACTGAAATATTTCTGATGCACTTTTTTTCAAAGACCATACGGAAGTAAGTGGGAGGTCAACATTAATAGGTTGGCGAACCCCGTTCTGAGAGAATGTACAACCAATACAAGAGCCTTCATTGCGAAGAAAGCACTGCCTCCCTACCAAGCATGTCGTAAGAGAAGACTAACTGGGGGTTTCATTTGCAGTCGGAGTGCATCCGTCAGAGAGGCAAGGAACAGGCAATCCGCATACAGATATGACATATCTCAGGTTCTGGAACAAGGCTAAAGTCCTGAGGTGGACGAACTGCCAGAACTTTCCGCCTGAGTTTACAGTCGGTGAACTCGAAGAAGAAGAAGAAGAAGAAGAAGAAGAAGAAGAAGAAGAAGAAGAAGAAGAAGAAGAAGAAGAAGAAGAAGAAGAAGAAGAAGAAGAAGAAGAAGAAGAAGAAGAAGAAGAAGAAGAAGAAGAAAACACATGGTTGATTGATTCACTCCAGGATGTTGACAGTGGCATGATTACAACTTTAGTTAATTCCTAATTTGTTTTAGACCCAGTTATAACTCGACTGCTTCTATCTGAAGAATTTCTTGCTTTAGATTAATCAGTAATGCGTTAATTTTTTTAAAAAAATCTAAGGAATTGAAAGAGTTAAGAGTACAGATAAGAGAAAATGGATTATGTAACAATTGAATAAGACACAAAAGACTGAAGACAAACACCGCATCTGTGGAGTTGCTGAATGACGCATGGTATGTTACCTGACACCAAATGGGTTAATAGAAAGGCATACAAACCTGGCTTCAAAGTGCTAAACCACTCTATGTGCTTCTTTAAGAAATGGATAAACTCCTGACATGCAAAATCTGGTCTCATGTTGGGTTCCTTCTTGATGAGTTCAATAAACCTGTCCAGGTTTGTCTGTTTGCCCTGGAAGTACAGAACAAATCATTCATTAGCTGGCTGATTGTGAACACTATCTGTACTGTTTGGGAGCCGCTATGGTGTAGCAGCTAGACGTGTTCCTGCGGATCCGACAATCGTGGGTTCAAATCTCAACAGAGACATATTTTTTCACAAAGACTTTGGCTGCCAAGTCGACCCAGCCTCAAATGAGCATCAGGTAGAGTCTTCGGAAGTAAATGCGGCTGGCTTGATGAATACAACATCATTCACCAGGTACTGATTGGTCTATATAATATAGAGCTTGCCCTCTATGCCCCGAATGCGTGGAAAAGAGTCCGTTACTGTCTGTACTGAAGACTGTAGCCTGGTGCAGGATTTGTATCCATGAGCCTGGGGATTTTAACTCTTTCTATCCCAAGAATGGGCCTCAGTTTGAATAATGGGAAGACAGAAGTAATGGTGGTATCAAAGAAACAAATTATTCCTAAATGTGTAATAAACGTCAATGGTGTTATTTTAGGACAAGTACAGACATTTAAGTATCTGGGCACATGGATAACATCAGATGGAAGATGCATAACTGAAATAAGAAACAGAATTGGACAGGCAAAAACTGCATTTTATAAAATGAAAAACATCTTGTGCAATATATCCTTGTCATTGAGAGTTAGAAAAAGAATTCTTGCTTGCTTCATACATCCAGTTTCAACATATGGCTGTGAATCCTGGACAATCGGTAGGCAGGCCAAACAATTTCTTGAGGCCTCAGAGATGTGGTTTTACAGAAGAATGCTTAGAATACCTTGGACAGCCAAAAAGAGCAACCAAAAGGTTTTGAAAGAGGCGGGAGCCCGAAGACAACTTATCACAGACATCAGAAGGAGACAGTCATCATTTTTCGGCCATGTTATGAGAAGAGGGAAAATAGAACATGTTGTGACCACTGGAAAGATATGTAGAAAAAGGGATAGAGGAAGACAACGAGAGAAGATGCTTGACAGTCTTGTTGCATGGCATGGATGTGTGTCGGCACCCGAACTGATACATGCTGCAGGAGATCGCAGATTATGGAGAGGCATGATCGCCCTCGCCAGTCGGCAAGGCGCCTGATGATGATGATGATCCCAAGATACACTCAATGTGTGATGTAATATTTATTTTTTAGGCGTGATTACACTTCGTTTTAATTTGCCAGAGAGTACTAAAGAAACCTGGCAATATTTGTTTTATACGGTACATATATATGTATATGGGAGCCCCTGTAGTCTAGCGGCTAGACTTTAGGCTAGTGGGTGATGTGGTCAGCATTACATTGGCCCCCTTCACTTCCCAGGAGTTTACCTGGTATCCATTTAAAGCTGGATCGACATTAAGGCCATGGCAATTACAAAATTATCCGGCTCCGTTCGGATTTGAACCCAAGGCCTTCTAATCCACAGGCGAGGGTCTGTTGCTAGCATCACATACCAGTGAGGTGCCGTGTACACAGAGAATGTTTGCTACAAGGGTTCTTCAAAACTCTGGGTCTGGTCTCTCATCCTGAGTGTATTCTCTATGAGACTTCGCTCGTCCATCTCTTAATGGTAATGTGAATACTCTCAATTTCTATCGCCATCTCAATTGCTCCTTCCAGAAAGAGCTAATGGACAAACGAGCGGAAAAAAAAAACAACTTTATTTTGAAAGCGTTAAGACAGACAGACAGACAGACAGACAGACAGACAGACAGACAGACAGACAGACAGACAGACAGACAGACAGACAGACAGACAGACAGACAGACAGACAGACAGACAGACAGACAGACAGACAGACAGACAGACAGACAGACAGACAGACAGACAGACAGACAGACAGACAGACAGACAGACAGACAGACAGACAGACAGACAGACAGACAGACAGACAGACAGACAGACAGACAGACAGACAGACAGACAGACAGACAGACAGACAGACAGACAGACAGACAGATGATAAATTGAGTACCTTTAAACTTAATTTGAAAAAAAATATGACAACTATGGCGAAACTTACTTCCGAATCTTGGGGCGAGTTTGTCTGCATATTGTCTTGAGTGATGAAATTCATTTCTATCAAAACGAAAAAGTTGTTCTTTATTAATATCCTTTCCCCCCCCCCCCCCCCCCCCCCCCCAGATGACGTCACAAGACAGTCCAACATTTTAGAGGGTGGTAAGACTGGGTTTCCCAGCTTTCTGATGCTTTTAACAACCCCAAAACATCTAGAACTGGCCCTAACTTCAACCCACCTGAGTCCTACGAGAGAGTGCAGCGTAGGTTCCATGACTACATGCAGCCTATCTACCACCCCCTGAAATATTAGATTGTCCTGTGACCTGTCGATTTCCCCTGTTTGGGGTAGGATATTAATAAAGCACGGAAACAGTAAAACGTAAGATGTGTAATAATAACTAAGGGGTCATTTTCCGTTTACTGGCACATCGAGTAAATAGTGCTAGATCAGTGGTGATGTAATTCAAAATCTCAATGGCAGACTTTTCTTCCCAGAGCATTTCGCGTTATTTACTTCAGGCTGGGTCAACCTGGGATCTAAGTTCCATTAAAAATTGAACTGGTTTTAATGCGAATTCGAGCCCAAAACCCTTGGTCAGCATAACACTAAACATGCCATGCGCTTGCCTGCTGACCAAGGGTTTTGGGTTCGAATTCGCATTAAAACCAGTTCAATCCATTGTTTAGTGTAACAGAGGCTCCTCATTTTAAACAACAACCGTTTCTTTATCTGCCAAGAGACTAAACACTAAACAATGGATTTTATAGTGGATCACTTTAGGAACGTTTCTAACGGTTTTAATTTCTGGCGCAGAACTAAAAAGCTTAAAGTGCGAGTAAAGTCAAATAGGAAATCAACGGTTCCACTAAGATTTGACCTTATGCAGAGCCTCAGCTCATATGCTTGGAAATCGATCTCATGCAAATCCAATCAATGGCTTCATTATCCCGTTCAAGCTAATTCCACGAGAAAGATATTAGCACGGACTAACTTCCCGTTTAATGCATAAATTACCTTCACTTCCCTGTGTATATGCAGCGTGTGGGGTAATTAGGGAACTAAAGGAGAGTAGCTAAGTAAACTCTGTATTTAAAATGTTCAGCTCCCTTCCCCTTCCCCTACTCCGCCCCCCCCCCTTTTTCCCAGAGAGTTGTCGGGCCCTAGTTTGGAGGAACAAACAAGAGAATAGACCTGCCGCCCATAACTTCGTAAAATTAGGGGTACTTTCCTTCGAAGTCAGAGTACACCTGTCTAAGCAGCAGGAGCCAATAATAATTCTAAATAAGTCAAATCTGTAAAACGGATGTGGACGCAATATCCAGGTTACAGAACAAGAACAAAGTCTAAGTGAACAGCAACCATAACTTTCTACTGGAGTTTCTTCTTCTTCTTCTTCAAGTCTATGGCGTGTGGCGTTGGTAGTCATGTCTATCAAATACTTTCTGTCTCGTGTACTTTCAGTCAACTCTCTCCTTAATGCCAGTATGTCAAACTGTCCAGCATCTTTCCCCTCAGTCTCCATCTGCATCTTCTTCCCTCCAACTTTCTTTTTGTCTGGATGTACTCTATTTTTCTCCTCCTCTCATCACATGACCAAAGAATGTAGACTGTCTCTTTCTGATGCGGGAAATCAGTTCTCTTCGTGAGTCAGTTTCTTTCAAGACATCTCAATTACTCTTTTTATCTGTCCAGGGTATTGTCACCATTTGTCTATGAAACCACATCTACGCAGCTTCCAATTAAGTTTTCACTAGGTTACCAACTGTCCCTAATTTACTTGCGTATCTCATGATAGGATATATATATATAGCTTTTACAAATTCTCTTTCTCGATCAATTGACAGATGTAGAAAATATTCTTCATTTGTAAAATGCTATCTTTGCTTGAGCTAATCTATATTTAACTTATTTAATTGCCTCTTCCATCTTATCTTATCAGGGTACCCAGGTACTTGAACATTACTGGAGTTTAAGGCCAGCGAACTCTAAGAAGAAGAAGAAGAAGAAAAATGTTCAAAACCTTATGGACTTTGCCCGCATGCATTAAGTTCAAATATAATGAGCAAAGTGCAATGAAAGATAAACGTGTGCTTTAAAAAAAAGGCGCTCCAGTACCAAAAAGGCGCTCCAGTACCAAAGAGGAACACAATGTGTGCGTGGGCGCGCGCGCTTCCATAACCTACTCCCAACCATTATTAGTTTGTATAGGAAGATTTCTTTGTAAAAGGGGACTTTTGTAACGCATTCAGGCGTATTAGGCATATAGAGATAGACCTATATTTTCTAGAACAATCGGCACTTTGTAGGAGATTTCAACATCGTGCTGGCCATCTTTACTTCCCAGGACGGTACCTAGTACCTATTTAAAATTGCTTCGGCATGAGAGCCAAGGTCATTTCTGAAAAATAAAAATAAAAATCCGTCTCCGACAGGTTCTCGACCCACTACCTTCCCATCTGGAGGCGAGCGAATCTAGCCGCTTCACCTTAGCGGCTCCCAGATTTGATTGTACCGGACGGGGGGGGGGGGGGGGGGGGGGGGGGGGGGGGGGGGGGGGGGGGGGGGGGACAACAACCTTTCCGATCCCGACACATATTCTATAAGCTAAAGTTATTTGAAACCCCAGCCTTATCGGCAATCAAACACTGGCTTGCTGTATATTTTAACCTCCTGTCCATTAATTCACAGTAAAGAATCTTCTAGTTTGTGAACCAACATATCAGATGAATCTCAGATTGTCACCCCGTTACAAAAGACAGTTAAAGTGTAGGGAGCCGACACAACGATAACAATGGGGGTGAGGGGACGTGTAGATTTCTTACATATTTTCCAAGGATCTCTGAGGGTAAAAAGGGGGGGGGGGGGGGGGGGGGGCACTTTGTTTAGGTGCTTAATGATAATAATAACAAGAATATTTATTCACAGACAGACGAATCACTGTAATAAGTGTGAATCATATATCTAAACAATAAACACTTAAAAAGAACC